TTCAATATGGTAATTATAAAAAATGCTACTTAAGGAAAAGTAATATTATTATTTAGATTATTGAAATTAGTAATAATAATAATAATATATACGGTCTTTATTTTCCGGGAAATTTTTGATTTCTTGATTTCTACTTATATTTATCCTTTTAGTCGTAATTCTTATAGTGCATATGAGTAATATGAATGAAGTGAGAGATGAATTCTGATAAAAAAATTGACTTGCATGTGGAATATAAAGTAAAAATTATGTGATTGTGATTTATGCAGATCATAGAAGAGAAAAATAATTTACTCACACACTTAGTACTTTAAACGGAAATGATGGTTTTTTAGGCAGTTCGATAAATATAGTTGGCAAAGTTTAATGGGGCGGAAAAGTAATTTTTATTGATAATCAGTTGCAAAAATAAAAATAAAAATGCATTCATTTAATTCTACTATATCTACCCATAAAAATAATAATTTAACTATATCTATCCATTAATAAATAAGTAGCTGATAGAGTATAAATCTAGCTAGAGAGACGTGAGAACTAAAGAGAGAAAGTTCTTTGCATTCAATGTTTTTCATCCCTGTACAACTACCCCCAAAGGGAATATTTGTAGAGGAGACACGAGTTGGCCTGGGCTCTCAGGCCTTGGGCCTGGGAGGCTTGTTTATAATAGTGGGCTGCTAAAGGGCAAATTACATGAACTCCTTAGGCTAGGTATAAAGTAAAAGCTATATGTTGATGGTCCTGACCGAGGTGGCCATGACGAGGGTGCCTCGCCGAGGAGGGCCAGGCCGAGGTCACCATTGTTATTCTATTTCTCTAATCCTAATCTTCTCGACCTTGTTCGTAGAAGTGGGCTCGTCGAGGGGACCAACCGAGGGTATGTTAGTGTCTTGTGATGTTTGTCTTCTATAAGTATGTGGGCGGTGGGGTTCAGGCTCATATACTTTATCATTAACTATTTATGTTGGTCCAAAATAGGACGCTCGTAGGCTTTTAGGAAAGCTACGTAAGAACACTCAAGTAGAAATTAGGAAAGCAATACATACATGGAAGTAGCTAGAGAGTTCGATAGCCAGAAATAGCATATCCTTCATTTGAACCGAACTTGCCTTTTATAGGCGATTACATATGGCAACTGCCAAAGATACTAATGACTAATTAATTACATTATTAACATGAAATTAAATGCACAATTAAGTCTTGCGTTAATTGCTCTGGCCATTACTGTTCGTGGCTGGCGGGTCGGCCCGGCTGGCAGGCCGGACGTTCAGGCTCCCTGGGCCGGCAGGCTTCTGTTGGACAAGTAGGCAGGCCGACTTGGGCTTCCGCTCCGCTGGACTTCCGCTCCTTGATGGGCCTGATCGGTTGGGCCGGTTGGAGATACGAATTGTCGGGTCCACATACTGGGCCCGTCTTGCCAGATAATGGTCCTGGGCTTGGGCTTCGGCTTGCCGGTCCAAGTTTGTGTCTAGGCCGATTAGGCATTAGGCCTAGTCCTATAATCCCATCACGAGTCCCCCACTCCCTTAGCCGAGTAGTAGACTCGGCTAAGAGGGAGTAGTCCAAGTCAGCTGCCAATTTAAAAATGTTCACATACTAGGGAGTAATAATTGTGGATTCTGTCAATCCCATAACTTATGGAAATTTTTCAATTTTAAATAAAGCTCTCAGCTTTAAAAGGCTTCAAATTAATTCATTCAGCATCCTAGCATCCCGGCAATCAGCTTTTTTCCAGACTTCAGAATCCAGGCCAGCTTCCGGAAATTACTGAAATACATTATTATTACTTTATATTATTTTCGGACTTTATTTTATTTTCCCATTTTCCCCTTTTTTCTCTTTTTCTTTTCTTTCCTTTCCTTTCTTTTCTTTCCTTTCCTTTCCTTTCTTTTCTTTCCTTTCTTTTCTTTTATTTTTCCTTTCCATTTTTTTCCTTTGTTTTCTTTCCTTTTCTCTTTCCTGGCTTCCCGCGTGCGTCTTCATCGCGTCGCCCCAGCGCCGCAGTCAACCCGCCGAGCGGGCTGACCGCCGTTTTCCCGCCGCACCGTCCACTGGTGACCGACGCCGCCCTGGCAGTCCGGCAAATCTGGCCGGCTGGTCGGGTCTCCTACCGCGTCCGGCTGGTGCGTCTCGCATGGGCCGGCGGCCACCCCCTGCTAGTCGGCGTCTCCCAGAGGTCGGCGTCCCGGCGGGTGGGCGTCCCACTTGCCCCTCTCTCCGGCGTTCAGGCTGTCCAGAGAGCCGCCGCCGTGTTTTTCTGCAGCCGGTCGCTGCCGGCCGCCGCCGCCTAGGAATCTGCCAGCCAAGCGTCCAGGTTGAGCGGCATCGTCTCTCTTTTGGCCAGCAAAGCTGCTGGGGCATATGGGTAGCCGCCGCCATGCGTTTTCTTCCCCCTTGGGTTGGCGGAAATCCATGCATACGTAGGATAGGCAGCGATGATGACTGGGTCCACCTTACTGCCGGCTGCTGGCGGTGCCGGTCCTCCCCCCAGTTGGGCGATGGGCCAGGCAGGATTTTCTTTCCCCAGGGTTCCACGTTGCCCGGACTTTGATGCTTGGTTGTTTTCCTTCTTTGTTTTGCCTTTGCAGGTTTGACATCCTCTTCCGCTCTTGAATCATGCAAGGCATTGGGCGCTTTCCCCATAAAAACAGCGGTCAAGACTCCCATTCAGCCATGCAAGTTGACGCCGAGCCCCTCCCCAAGCCATCAGGCTCGGGACTACCAGCCATTACAGAGGGAAAGCGTGGGGCGGCCACGAGGCCTGTGCGGGTTAGCCGCGGCGCTCGGCCACTGGGCAGCAGGTTGACGTTCTCCCAGAGATTGCTCTAGTTAGGCGGGCCACTACTCCTGATAGCCAGCAACTGAGTGTTCCAGATAGAGCACGAGCACAACAGGTGGTCGTGTCAGATTCTGATGATGATTCTGGTGCTCGGCAGGACCCGAATCTTTGGTGGGGCCTCGATTATAGCGGGATAGCGAACCTCCCCCCTCATATCCAAGACGAGGACCTTGCCGTTGCATACAGTCTGGTCGGTGCCAATTGTTCATTGCGAACTCCGGAGGCTACTGATGTACTGAGTGATCCCCCAGTCCATTACTCCGGGGTCCATATCCGCTCTCTGGAGTTAGGGATGGTTGTGCCTCTGCATCCTTTTCTGGTTCGATTTCTTCACTTCCTGGGTGTGGCACCGGGCCAACTGGCTCTGGCGGCTCACATGTTCGTTGCAGCTTTTGTGGCGCGATGTGAGGACGTGAGCCTCACTCCCACGATTGATTTGTTTTTTATCTGCTTCTAGTGGCACGCCTCAAGCTTTTTTGCCTCAGTTTCCCAGAGGCCGGTGAGCAAGCTATTCCGGCCGGGTTACCCTGACTCAGGTAGCCGATGGAAGAAGAGGTGGATCTGGTTGTCCGACCCCACCCTTCTGTCACCTCCGTTTCGGTGGGGTGAGCGGCTCCGGAAGTGTGACTGGGTCGCCATCTCCCCTGACGTCAAGTCATCCATCGAGATGTTGTCCGCACGCAGTCCCCGCTCCATCAGCTCATACTTAGGTGATCGTCACTCCCTTAGTTTAGGTTTGGCTATTTTGTATCTCACCTTTCTTATCCTCACATTTTTCTTCTGCAGATGTGCCAGATAGGCCTAAGAAGCATATCGTTGGTGCCGAATCCGATGATGATGACGAAGAAGCCCAACCATTCATCGCTCGTGTAGCTCCCACGGCCACCAAGGAAAAAGAGCATGGAGCTCCCCCAAACCGTGTACCACAGATTCCGAGGAGGGTGAGGGTTACCTTCAGGCCTCAGCCTGCTGCACCAGCGAAGAAGAAGAAGTAGAAGAGGAATATTGTCAACTTACCTGTCGAATTGGATGAGTCTGATGACAAGGAGGGGGAGCCTCACGTAGCCACTGCTCCTGTGGCCCCCCAGGTCTCTGTGGGGAAAGGGCACAGAGCCCCCCCCCCCCCCCCCCCCCCGGGCCGAGGGCGGCATATTTTGGAGGAGGCGATGGTCACCCCCGAATTCCAGTCTGCCGGGCAGGTGCATGAAGATGCTGGTGAGAAGATGGATGAGCGGGTTAGCCGCGACACTCAGCACACAGTTGCTTACTGTGACACCGCTCCCGAACGTCCTTGAAAATTCGATTTAAAATTCAAAGTTTAGGTATTGGATTTCTGATTCCCAAACATTTTGTAAAACAATTAATGTTTTACGTAATTAATGATCGATTAGTGTACTGTTCGAACTCGTGTATTAGTGTCGGGCATGCAAATACTATTTGGGTCTTATTAATAAATAAAAGAGCCCAACATTATCCAAATAGTGATACATAATCTTTCAAGACAATCCGAGTAAGGTCGGACGGCCCAAACGTTATTTTGAGCCCAACCCGCTAAAATAGCAAGTATTCGGGAATGGCGTTCTAGACCCACTCGGGAGTGACCCACACGGTTAGTAGCCCATTATATGTATGACAAATGTCAAATAAGTGATAGAATGGTTAAAGAAGAATACAAATGCCTATAGTCCCATCTTTAACATTATTGAGCTAAATAATGGGAGTAGGATTTTTCTTCTATAATATCCATTAAGTAAATTATTGTGATAAACCTACACATATTGGAAATCAATAATGTGATGAAGGAAGTTGACTTGTCCTAAATGAATTAGGATGAGTACAAAATACATCTTTGACAAAAGATAAAACAATAGGACCCATTTTCCCATTTTTGGAAGTATTGGTAGATAATTTGGATCCCAAAATGATTGGGATCAATTGGGAACCATTCCACATGGACTTAGTACCTGCAAAACAAGTGAGAAGAGGTGAGAAGACCATATGGGGCGGACTCTTGGCTCACATTCACAAAAACTCCAAGAGAAAACAAAAAGGGGAGGTCCACCCCATATTTGATTGCAAACCAAATATCTCCCATGTTCTTTTGTGAGCCACATACTCTTTTAGCATGTTTAGGGGCTCCTAATACACCCCCCATACACCCCATTCTAACCCCCAAAGAGATAAGAGAGCAAGGGAATCCACACAACCCAAGAGAGAAGGAAGGAGGAGAGCAGTCCGCAGGTTCGTTCTTCAGTGCGTAGCTTTGATTGTTTGAGCCATAACTTGAGATTTACTCATCCAAATAAGGCGTGCGAGATACCAACAGAAAGCTCTCAAGACGAGGAACCAGTGAAGGTCTGGTTTGCATAAATCGGAGTAGTGGAAGGCTTCCAAATCGACCGAGCAAAACACGACCTCGCAGAATACGTTTTTGTATTCAAAGTAAGTTTGAATCCAAAACCTTCCTCTCTATTGTCTAAATCATATAAATGATTGAAGAACTATTATACACTGATTGAAGTGTATAAAATGTTATTATTATGTGACTTTAATTGTTGGAAAGGTTAGATACTAACCTAGACAAAACCTTGAAAGGTTAGGGAACGAATTCGTCGGGAAACACCCGTTCTAGGGACTGTTTTTGCATTTTCGGTTAGGAGTTGAACTAGCACCTTGAGGGGGCTGTTTAACACTCAATTCTAAGCAAGGAATCAGTTCTCAAGCTTCCTTGGCCGAGGCTTTAGTCATTGGATCGAGAAGGAAAGTTTTAAAGCTCATTTGAGGTGAGGACCGACATCTAGTTGCTTACAACTTGTAGGTTATGCATGAGATTACCTAAATGCTTGAATCATGTTTTTGTGAATAAATATGCTTGAACATGATATGAATGATAAGTAATGGATTTGATCATAAATTGAAACCATATTGATGAATATGGAGTCATGTGAGATAAAAGTATGCTAATATGGTAAATTGACTTTCCAACTCATGTATGAATGTTATGTGTATGTAAACGTATGATTGCATGATGATGCTTAGCACATGGGAGGCTGCCACATATCTATGGATATGGAGGGGCTACCATTAAGAATAAATGAGTTGTAGGAATAATCTTAATAGTATTGTGATGCTAGTTAAGGATTGTTCTAAATGTTGATAGAATCAAACTTAGGGTTTGAGTTGTTTGTGATGAACTTGAATGAGGTTCAAGTGTCAAGTGTGATATCATGAAGTAGGAGATCTATGGTGTGATTGTATGAAGTAGGAGATCTATGGGGTGAATACATGAAGTAGGAGATCTATGGAGTGAATACATGAAGTAGGAGATCTATGGTATGATTATATGAAGTAGGAGATCTATGATGCGAGTGCATGATGATGTACTCGAGCCGAACTCTAGAAATGAGAAATTATATTAGGGTTGGACCCTACGTATGTCGTGACCATTAGTCACGGGGTTTTGGTAAATGTTTTGTAATAAACATGGGCCTTTGAGCCGACTACTTGACTTTATATAAAGTAAGTATATATTTTGAAAGGGGTAATTTGAGATTACGGCCTATACTATATTATCACCCTATTTGAGGGTCTTGTGTGTGAAATACTTGTTGTATATCTATTAGATGCCTGCCACACCAGCACTTTATAGCCCTATAGAGTGCTGACCCCTTCGGGGGCGTCCCACCACCATTTTTCAGGTTGAGGCTAGAGCTTGCTTCCTGTGCTCGTTGCTCGAGAGATCATATAGGAGGGAAGACTTGGTTCGTGCTTCCTCCATTCTGTTTTTTTTTTTAAAAATTAATAAACATGCTCATGGATATTTTACTATAGAGCCTGCGTGCTCATGAATAGCCATGTGTGGCCCTTTTGTTTTAAACAATGTTTTCCGCTGCGTTATGAATTACTTATTATGTTTGTTTATGGATGTATATGTGTGAATGATATTCAAGACGCCTTGTATAATATGAATGTGTTGGACTGCGGTTGACTATTCGTATTGTACGGCGGATTGTTGACGTGTCCGGATAGGTCCGGGGCGTGACACTTACACCTTCCCATCTCCGAGTGCCTCGGTTATGCATGAGGGCTTCCCGTTCGTGGATTATGCTTCAGCGGTTTTACCGCCGGGTGACCTTGCACGTATGACCACCCAGGGGTTTCAGCCTCTCATGGAGAGTTCTATTCGGACCCATGTTGAAGTGAGTGGCCGATCACGTCTCCGGCATACTCTGTTTTATCCCTCGATCCCATCACATTTTGTTTGTTTTGTTTCACAGGGACTTGCTAAGACCATTGGGTCACTTCGGGCAGCCAACCATTCTGAAGTGAGGCTTCAGCGTGAGGTTGATGAAGTTAGAGCCGCCCTAAAGGCAAGGGAGAAAGCTTTCTCCGAGTTGCAGCTCTCGCATGCAAGAGAGTGTGAAGAAGTGGCCAAGCAAGCGACCAAGAAAAAGATTCTCGAGTTCAAGGCCTCCGATGAATTCCAGAAAACCATATCTGACAGGGTGGAGGCGAAGGAATCCGACTTAGTAAATAAGTGGCTGAAGACTGATGAGGGGGAGTACTGCATGCTCGTGAAGTTTTGTACGCTTTTCAGAGCGGAAAGTATTTGATGCAACATAAATTGTATGATCAGTTGGAGGGTTTCGTCCCTGACTTTCATCCATCCACACTAGGTCTTCCTGCCTGCATGAAGAAACCTGTGGCAGCAATAGCCCTTCTGCCCCCAGGAGTCTACCGCCAGGAGGAGGAGTCTGGTAATTCGAACGAATGGTGCTGGTTCTTTCCACGACCTTCGAAGGACATGGTCCCCCTTACATCCGGCCAGCAGGAGGGAGCTCAAGAGTCCGGCCAAGACTTAGTTGCCATGTTAAATGAGATTCCCGAGGTCAATGGCGATGGGCATGTCCTGCCATGACTTTGTATTTTGCATTTTCCTCGTCTTCCACTTGTGTACGTTGTGTTTTGTCTGGACGTTTAATCTTGAACCCATGTATTTCTTTTCCTATACTTTGCGTTGCGAATACTTAAGCAATTTTATTCGGGGATCTGGCTTCTCTAACTTCCCGGGGGGGCGATTAGGCTGGCGTGGCCAAGCCTATCCACGCCCCTCCTGGTCAGATAGAAGTGATCTGTTCGTTGTTGATATGGAATCAACAAGTATGCGATTTGTTCGGCCAGCAAGGTCGTACTTTGAACTTTCAAGGAGGACACTTAGGTCGGCGCCCCGACGTTCATGACCCCAGGGGTCAATCCTACTGTCACTTTGACCCGTCCAGGTTGCCCGGACTTGGGGAATAATCTGGTTACTCCCGCGGGGTTAGCCAAACAGCAGGGGCGGACCCTGCACGATCCATCAGAACGGACCCACACCGCCAACTCGGAGATGGCGAGAGTGCGAGCTGCTTGGCCAGCGATGTCGGGTGGCGAGCACTCAAAAAGGGACCCGGCGGTCGGCACCTTGAGCGCTCCCGACCCAGGGGTCGGCCCTACCGTCGCTTCGACTATCGCGGTTAGCTCTTTACTTTGGAAAATTGCTTGGATTTTCGAAAATCGCTAGGCTATTTTCCATTCAAGAGCGTGACTGAGGTCGGCCAAACACCGAGGGGGGGGGATAGTCTCTCTCTCTCTCATTTTACAAGTCTTATTTTCCTTTTGGATTATTTCAAAATAAATATCTTATTTTAATTTAAAAAAAGAAATATGTATTTCATAACATTTCACTTTGTTATACTAAAATTTTAACCACATCTTTTATTTTGTTAACATAGATCAATAACTTTATTAATAATTGTGTCAAATTAAAATATGGAATGAAGATGCTATATTTTATCACAAATTTTTTAGGTAAGCAAAATTGCATATCGCCCACAGATTTCACTCTCTCGGTACGTTGCTATATACTCCGCATTTCTGACTGCTTTTAAGCATTTTCTCGCTGGCAATACGCGTCTACAAGTCGGAGTAATTAGTTTTTTGTTTTCTTTTGATATTGTTGTTTTTGTTTTAAAATTAGGGATGAGTAGCATTAAATTGATCTTAGCAAAGCTTACCAAATAAACAGACAAGGACATCCAAAGGTCCACATTGTTGACGGCGAACACTTAAACCATGTCTTGCGTCCTAAACTTGCCCTCCAATCCACCGGGTTAGAGAGGTTGCCAACATTTGGCAAACCTAACAATTCTTTAGACACAATTTAAGAAAGCGATACAATTTGATACTGTTTTGACACTATTTAATTCTGTTTTGCATTGTTTTGTTTATCAATTAATTAAGGAAAGGAGAGATTATTTAAGGACGATCCGAAAAAAGAAGTGAAATGTTTATTTAGAGATGGAAGGAGTAATGTTTATGAACTTTTATACAAACAACCTACACCCAGATGTGATTTTGAATTGATATCATATTAAGAGTTAGTATTATTTTATCTAAGCAGATAATTAGTATGATTGGAAGGGTAACTCGATATATACCTAGCATTTCTAAAATTAAATTTCTCTTTTAACTTTCAAATATTAATATTTATTATCTTTGACTTCTAATTATTCACATATTGCGTAAGGAATTCTCGATCTCCCCCACAACTATTAGATAGTCATTGTCATTAATATCAACTTTTTAACTTTTAGTGCATGAGATAATTTCAATTGAATTACTTGTAATCTTTTTCAAGCGCTTATCCGATAAAATCTAAATCTATCAAAAGTTGATGAGATAAATGGTCAAAACTCAGAAGAACCATAAATGACCAAAGATATATACGGAGTAGCTACTTGATAGAAAGTAGTACAACATAGTTTATAAATTATATTGAATTATAATATTTATTATGAAAATATATGGGAAAATATCATTATCTCCCTCGAGTCTTGATATATATTATCACTTACATCTATATAACATTCAAAATACTCCTATGCACTTCCCTCTATCTTTTGAGGGCACACAACTTCTAGTTTAATTTTAAAAGTACAAACGTGTCCCTTGGGTTGCACGAAAGTTTACTTAAATTTTCCAATAATATAGGAAAGAGTTATACAATTAGATACGATGATGTTTCCGTGAGGAGTCCCAAATTCAAAACTTTTAGAAGTAATTAATGGCAGTCCAGTTTACCTCAGTTTCCCCTAGCTAGCCACTCTCCTCTAACTCCGATGCCCTTGACATAAAGACAAATGTAAATATAGAAAAGGATGGATGTTTTCGTACTTTAACTGTTTAACAATTAACTTAGATGTTTTGTGACCTTCGTAAAAACGGGAAAATATAAAAAGACATATTTTCAATAGTGTAAGAATGTACAGAGTATTTACCCTTATTTTTAAGTACTTCTTTCTTCATCCTATATTATTCAACTTTATCGTTAATTTACGTAGTAGAAAATTACGTACTTGTGATGTAATATAAAATTCTTGATTTTTAAACTAATCTTGTATTAATCCTAGTCACATATATACTCACATAATCACATTCAACATACAAAAAAGAAGAAGAGAGAATTGAAATGGCATATTTTAACTTTAAAGGGAATCAATGATATTAACTCTTAAATTATTATTAAGTTTTCTTTCGTTCCATATTATTCAACTTTAATAATTAATTATAGAAAATTATTTTTAATAAAAAAAAATCTTGAATGTTAAACTAATCTTGTACTCATCCGGGCCTAGTCACATACTAACATTATATTGGATATGTGATATATCTTATGCATAAATGCATAGTGTGTATATCTTTCGGAATTGAAGTCCAACTCATCCTTACCTTTCTTCTCACATGCATGCAAGTGCGTTATATTTAATTTGCAATACAAAATGCACTGTCCCTATTTAGTTAAAATTAAATGCATTAAATTATTGATATGCTTGGTTTGGAACAAGTGAGAAAAATCAGCAACACTAAAAGTATTTACTGGCGCTACTTTGTCTTTTTCCCATGTTACCAATTAATTATAGAGCATTCTTTTGAAGTGTGATATTAATATTTTAAGTTGTTTTAAACTTGTTCAATGTATGGCGACGTCTTTATGAAATTAAATGAATTAACAGCTATGATCTTCATAAAACTGAAATCTTTCCAACTGTTCATCGTTAATCTCTAGCTAGGCAAAGAAGCGGTGCAAAGACTTAATTTGTCAATCAAAGAATATTCACTCAAAGTACGATCAACTAAATTAAAATATCATGAACCACACGCACATGCATCATTAATTAAGTTTTGTAATAAGCATGAACCCTTTATTCATTATTCCTATTTCATTAATAAAACTATATACATTATCAAAGACACGAGATTGAAGAGATTTTTGAAACTTGGTAGAGATTTTGGCAAAAGTATGCCAAATTCGATCGGACCAAAAACAGTTTGGTACGAGCTATTTGACACGAAATCATCGATCAAACTGTGTCAAATCCGTATTAATTCCGTGATTTTTTTGTAGTAAGTAAAATCCAAGACATAGCAAGGCCAATAATATTGTCACCCGAAATATATATCACCGGGTATGGTCACCACTCACCAACTGCCTCTAAACGAGGCTCTTAACCACTTTATTCATAAACTGTTTGAAATTGTATCATGATTTATTCATTATTTTATTCATTATTTTGTCGAGACAAAGTATTAGGAGTGTGGAAGTCATTCCAACATTTAGGTTGAGAAAACTACATATATAGCCAAATAAAGTTTAGCGTATCATATTGGTCATCAATGACATGTTTTGCCCCGCGCCCTTTTCTAGAAAACCCGCATGGTTGACGAATTAAGGCGTTTGACTATGATCAAATAATCTGGACTTATGTAAAAACATAAAATGTAGATTTTCCTTGTGTATCATATATCGTCCGCGTTTCTCTTCTTTAGTTATTGTATACCCAAGGACCATATATCCTTGTGTATCATATATCGTCCACGTTTCCATGTATCCTTGTGTAGATTTTCCAATCACTTTTTTATATTCAAATTTCTAGGTTTACAAACCTAATATAATTCCAATCACTTTTTAGTCAATGTATATAAAAAAGTGATTGGAATTATATTAGGTTTGTAAACCTAGAAATTTGAATTTTTTCCTTTTCATCTTCACCGTCAAGTGCTTTCGAACTTAACTACCATGAGTTTCCCTATCTATAATAATATAAAGTAACAAGGTCTAGCACCTTACTTTTCCCTCCAATTAGACAATTAATGCTCTATACCAATTCAACAATAAGAGTCATATTAATAATTTGCAATTAGTAATAATAATAGGCATAGTAAATACTAAATAGTAATGTATTATGGAGTAATTGGAATATTTTCAATTCAAAATCTATAATAATATAAAGTAACAAGGTCTAGCACCTTACTTTTCCCTCTAATTAGACAATTAATGCTCTATACCAATTCAACAATAAGAGTCATATTACTAATTTGCAATTAGTAATAATAATAGGCATAGTAAATACTAAATAGTAATGTATTATGGAGTAATTGGAATATTTTCAATTCAAAATAATAATAATGATAATAATATTATTAATAATAATAATATTAATGATAATAATGTAATCTATAATAATATAAAGTAACAAGGTCTAGCACCTTACTTTTCCCTCCAATTAGACAATTAATGCTCTATACCAATTCAACAATAAGAGTCATATTAATAATTTGCAATTAGTAATAATAATAGGCATAGTAAATACTAAATAGTAATGTATTATGGAGTAATTGGAATATTTTCAATTCAAAATAATAATAATGATAATAATATTATTAATAATAATAATAATATTAATGATAATAATGTAATAATATGATACATAATTGACGGGATTTCAGTTAACACAAAAACATATTAGAACGTTTGCAACATTTTGATTTGAATGTTTTCAATTATAAGCTACACCAGACCAAATTAAAAGAAACTAGACCAAATCACATCAAATTTAAATACAATAGACTTGATCAGATCAGAATAGATGAGTAAAATATACATACACTCGACACTTACCGGACCAGATCAGATTAGTCCATCAGATCAAACTTAAACGGACCTGATC